TGTTACAAATAATTTAAAGTATCCAATCATGGTAAATGTTGAAATAAATTGAAATAGATGTAGTATATGAAAATCACACGTTATAATTTTTTTTAGGGGATTCTCACCCACAACGGCCACAAGTACCTACAGTTGAGAAAATTCAAGTTGGAAGTTACAATGTGAGTCTCCAACCAAATGCATCAACCTTATTTAGGTATTTGTTTTTTAAATATAAATAAAAAAAAATCATACATTATTGTGTAATATATATTTTTGAACTGGTATCAAAGTGCATTTTACAAATGTTGACTTTATAATTTGACTAATAAATAATTGCATTTTTTATAGTTAAAATTGTTCATTGGCAATTATAGTCAAACTGTTGCAAATATTCCGTAATATCATTCATGACACACGGATGGAGTACAATAATCGAGGAGAAACGTGTACATGATGGTAAAAGATTGTGGGTTGGCAGGAGTCATTGACTTAAAAAAAAACAAAGTAATTACGACAATCAAAGATTTAAATTAAATTTGCATGGTGCAGTGAAGGGCCCTTAAAGTAAAAAAACAGTAAAGGGGGTGGTGGTGGAGAGGGTGGTGGTTAAAAAAAAAAAAAAAAAAAAAGTGAGAGAATATTGGGCATATAAGAAGGCGGATGGAACAAAAACAGAGAAACATTGAAAGAAAAGGCGACAATAAACGTGATCCAATAATAACCATAGAAATTGTATCCCTCTTAATAGAGCAAAGGATTAGAGTGTCTCATGAATGGGTGCACCAAGGGCAAATGCCCTCTGATTTTGAGGCACCACCCCTTAATTATAAAGGACCCCCCCTCCCAAATTCCAACCCCCCTTTCTGCCCTCCTCTGCTTATGCCTGCCACCTCTTTCTTACTACCAGTTATCTGTGCACATCCTCCCATTTCTTTTTTCTTTTCTCTTGTTTTTAGCAGTCTGCAAATTTTCAACCCCCCTTATGTATTCTTCTGTCATTGACAATTTTTTCACTAAATAACAGACCCCCACCTTTCTAAATTATTCCCTCCATTGACAAATAATCTTTCTGTTAGATTTGAATACGCATATTAAGGAATTTAGTGAGATAAAGAGTGTGTTAATGAGATAGTGAAGAAAGAAAGTTAGTGCAAGGACTACATATCACGTGACCGCATATTAAGGAATTTAGTATGGTTAAGTGAAGATGTTAGAGCAACTCCTATGACAAGCTGCCATGCCACATAAGCTTTTAATCCAATTGTCATTTTAGATAATTTGAGCTCCAATGGCTAGCTATTAGCTTACTATTTATATGAACAACACCTCCTAAATTTACATTTTTAAATTTCATACAAGTATTATTTATTTTAATTTGTTTTATTTTAGCAATTTTTTTTTCAAGCTAATTTGCTTGACCAAACTAATTGCCTTTTTTAAGCTCCGATGGTCAAGCTGATAGGTAGGGATTATTTAATATTTCAAGCAATTCTCTAGCTATAACCATTAGAGTTGCTCTTAGAGAATGAAAGTGTAAAACTTCACATCACTTGGATTAATTGTGATATTTGTGGACATTCTAAAAAGAAATACAAGAAAATTATTTGTGGATGGATACAATAGTTATTTTTATTTTTTTATTTGTTTTAACTGTTAGATCTTATTTATATATTATTATTGTGTTATTTTTTAATCTTCAGCTCTCTCCATTAAGTTGCAATATATGTATGCTACAGTAGTCAGGGATTCTGCTGAACATAAACATCAAAAAATATTTGTGAGGTGGAGATTAACTCTGAAATTATTTTCTGAATTTTTTTTTAGCTAAGAAAGTGGGGATAGATATTACAATAATATACAAGTGATAGAAACTGACAAGCTCTGGGATCAAGTTGGGGTGATTTCAACTCACATGTACTGCAGCAGGCAGAAGAGAAATTATTTTTCTTATGCAGGGAAGAAAATTTTGGGAACAAAAGTCTAAGCAGTATAATTTTCATTTCCTAATCGGAGAGATTAGCAAAGATTGAGTTTGATATTAATATGCTGCTAGTTGTGTGTGTCGAAATATAATATTACAACGCGTAAGTGATTAGTGTATATAATTATACTTACGACGAATGATCCACTCCGTAAGATCATGAACACGTGACCTCTTACGCTGCTAAACCTACTGACACCCTGATCCTAGGGGAACCTCTGAAGCAAATCGACGGTTTAACGGATGATTCCGTCTTGCGTTACAGCACAATGTTCATCTCTTGTTCTACACCTATTCTTGTTTTCTTGTTTCCTTCTTTGAATACTAGTCTAGTTGGTGATAAAATTATTGATTAATGTTTAGTCTAGTCACATGACATGATTCTACAGGAAGTGACACTGAAGCCATCACAAAACAGAATTAGGAGTATACAGATAACCGGATATAACTGAGGAATAGATTCCATATTTCAGAAACAGGTATAAAAAAAAGATGATAATAGAGAACATTCCTTGATAAAATATCAAATAGGCTTTTCAAGGGCGAAATTGTAGAGCATAAAAGATGTGTCTCTATCAAAGTTTCAAAATATGTAGAATTAAAAGATTGAAGGATTCCCCACCACTTGAGCATATATTTCAACTTACATGCATGTATCAATTTTGAGCACATAACATAACACTGCTTAAGATTCCAGTACCAAGAGGGAATCATGAAAAGGACATAAAATAATGTGACATTTTTCATAGAGGAATAAATCCTGAACTACCAACAGCACATCCTGGTTGGCAAAGTTATCGAAATGGGGAGCAATCCTTTCCCATGTTTATAAGCATATGCTGCTGCTGCTTTACTTACAGCGATAAGTCATCAAGAGACTTATCTTAAAGACATTAGATGCTGGATAACTTGACATGAGCAATGTTCACTAGCAACTGCCATCATACCTAGTGAAGATGCACTGTTTGTCTTGGTTGTATCAGTGAGAAACTTCGATTCTGTTAGAACTTACTCCTTGTCTCGCCTCTTATAGTGCTACGATATATCGTTTCACTATTACATCCTATTTTAATCGATTCTATGTAGTCCACCGTCTATACTTACGGTTTGTATGTCAAGTATTCTAATCGATCCATTACACCTTATTTTTTTCAAAAAAAACAACTGTTGTACTATTCCGCAACACAATTTTTGGTCTTAAGCATGTTTTCTTCATCCAATGTTGTCTTTATTCTTAGCACTATGGCTCCAAGTAAAGAGTGGCTGACGATTGTGGCATCTTTTATCCATAAACTACTGACTACTGATAAAGTTTTGTAGGGCTTATGGGCACACAACTTCAGTGGATGGCCTAGTCTCTTCTTTTTTCCGTCACTGCATACTACTGTAGTATGCCCTCACCAAAAACTCTCTGGCTCATGCATTTATCCTTACACACTCCGAAACAGAAAGAAAGATCGTGTATTCATGTCTTACATCTATAAATGGCTCCTACCAGCACTGCTCGCATCAGCGCATGAGGCGGAATCATGGTGTAAAAACAAGACCTCGTCATTTTGGTTTGGACATATTGTAAAGGGTTTTCAATGACCAAACCAATATCGTCCGTATCAACAAGGGGTGTATTAAAAATCTGTGATCTCATTCGCACATTATTCCTGTCCCAAATCACCCCGCATTGAGCATAACTTCTCGTGTTTCACTCAAAAGTTACTTCTTATCATTCAAAGATATAGTGAAAGATTCCTCCATGCCTCCTCACTAATGGCTATAATCTTCTAGTATTCTACTCTAGCAATTCTAATAGCGTACAACTATTATTAAATCCTATAAAAAAAACTTTGCAATTAAATTTGCATAGCGAAAATTGTGACACAGTTTGCAATCAACTTATTACATCCGTTCTCGTAACACTGCAACCATTCCTCTGATCACAACCAAAACTACATTCTTGAACCATGGGAAGAATTGATTCAACTTTCCATTAAGTACATTTTTAGGCTTGTTTTAGAATATATTTTAATGATTCGAAATGAGGGCTTTCCTTCAACTCCTGCAATTACTCATTAATATCTAGGACGTGTTTCATTGGATGATATTAATTACCTCCACAATGCTTATCCAGTAGAATTTTCCCATACCCTCAAATGGGGAGAACATTGACCAAAATGGCAGAGGAGACTCTGATTTTTATCCACATTTTAGCAATTCACATCCAGTCGAACACACATAAAACTTTCGAGTAATATCTTCAGTTTTCAGTAACACAAGATTTAAAACAATTTCAACATAAAAAACAATGCTCACTTCATCCCACATTATTGACCATCATTAACTTAATATGATGTAATATGTTGTTAAATTTAAATGTATACTTTCAAAATATCTTTTCACTAACTATTAATTAGAGTTATTAATTAGAGTTATTGATGATAGAAATAGACATTGACAAGTGTGTCCAATCAAAGTGATGTAAGTAAAATGGGACAGAGTAAATGTCCACAAAATCAAACAAAGCCTAAAAAATCACTGATTTAATTTGGAAACATGGGGTTAAATCTCGGCATAATCACACATTGTATAGGATTTAAGCTTATCATGCACAATCAGCAAAACACCCTCGCATTACTTGCAAAAGTTGTTTTGTGACTGACTGTGATTGTATCCATTATTAAAAACCATGTATGGGAATAAGTGAAACAGGAATGCAGGACTATCGATTTGCTCTAAACAATGAATTTCAGATCATTCAGAGCACTGAATCCTTATTTTTAGGCCATACATGTAGCTAACACTACCCAAAACAAAAAGGAATTGAACATCACTAAACTTATTTGTATGACACTCCATGCCTAAGATCAGTTTGTGTACATATGCATCCAGCCAACAACTGTACTGTAAACATGAGTCATATAGTTTTTCAGAACTTTATGATGAATTCTTCGAGTTATTAGCTAAAACACTTTAATAATTCCAATTTGAACTTTTGTGTCCTCAAGGTGAAAGTATAATATGCAATCTTCAGTAAATTTCTGTATGAAAAACAAAATTTCTGTCTATCTCTATTTAATCATACTTGGATATAAAAAAGAATTCTTTTGATTCTTCATAGACACAAAACACATTAAACAATGTAAACCCAACCAGACATTGTAGTGGTAACTGGTAAGAGCTGAAACAGTTTTGAGTGGAACAATCTCATTTTATTAAATAAATGGAGGATCACTATGTACAAATCTCATGATTCACAGGTTGCCATCTATGCTTTATGCATGAATAGCTATACAAAATCAAACCACAGAAATACCTCATACATGCATCGCTCGAACTCTGGTTTTCTCGGTTCTAGATGGAGGCAAAATCAAAATTGCCATGAGTCCACTTGCAAAGGCAGCAACTCCTGCTACAGCTATGGATGGTGAGTTTCCCCCACCGAACAGTTGATCCCATGGCCCACTTCCCAAGGATACAATCACCTGCATATTCACCAGAGCATTTATTAAGACAGTTTATGCATTCTTTGTTAATCATGGATTCTCAAGGAAAAAACAAAATTCTCATGAATTTTTTACCAGAGCTACAATTTTATTTTATTTTTTTAATTTTTTTTTATAATAGAGCAATATCTCCTGTTGTAATCAGCCAATGGAGTAAACAAAATCTAAAATGTCCGCAGCAGCAATAAGAATCTCTAAAACATCGAAGAGTTAAAAAGGAAAAAAAAAATGGTCCAAACAAATTATAAATATGCATCAACACAGCATTTCATATACAAAGTATTGTGTTTTATTTTTTATTTTTTTTTTTACCCAATGACCCTGGAAGGCACAATCAAAACTAAAACCTCTATTGACAATAGAGTAAACAAGGATACTTCTAAAATCCTTTATGAATATGGATCACCCATTGTAAGGAAATTACGCATTTGAAGTTGTTCAACTTAAGCAAGGCCCAATGGATGAATGAAGGCGTTTCAAAAGGCTCACCGTGAGCCGCTTTTGGTATGCCTCACAGGAGTAAAAAGGTCATTTTGCTGCACTTTTAAAAAAGTCTCATTGGGCTGTCAAATAATACCACTGGAGTTTCAGTGATACAAAATACATTTTAAAATTCCGCCGGAGTTTCAATGGTACATAATACACTCTCAGTGGTAATCCCTTACACTTTTTTGTCCCTTTTGCACGTGAATGCATGTCCGGAGGAGGAAAAAAAAAATACAAAAAAAAAAGAAAAAAAATAAAATAAAAGTGGGACGCACACCACCTTTTTTACTCTTCCTTGTACCTTTTTCTTGGTGATAATTTGATTTCTTGATCGTCCAAAAGACAACCAACTCTATCCCGTTCTAGTGGAGAAGCTAAGTACCGTGGGATTGCTAATGTTTCCGATTCTTGTTGAATCCGAAACTTATTATTAGAGCTACATTGTCCTATTCATAAAGCTACTCTAGGTTACTGTAACAATGTAGTGCCATCTACTTATCGGGTAATTCAGTGTAGCATGTATATTCACTTTGTACGTGTAAAAGTTGCTTAAGGAGAAGTCCGAGTTCTTCATGTTCTCTCCCATTATTAGATTGCTGATATATTTACAAAAGGTCTTCTGCAAGTATTATTTGATGATTTCGGACAACCTTAGCGTTTGTGAACTCTCGCTTCGACAACAAGGGTGTGTTAGAATATATGATAAATATATTTTGATTTATTCTATACATCTTAATTGTTAAGTATATAATGTTCCTAACTTATAGCTAGAGATGGGCAACGTGCCGTGCCGGGTCGCCGCGGGTCGTGCCTCGCCGTGCCTGGTGGTGGCTCGTGTTGTGCCTGCATCTTGGCGTGCCGTGCCGGGCCACCATTTAGCACACCCCAACCCACGGCAGGCACCGGGCACCGGGCCGCCCATAATTTTTTAAATTTTTTTTTGAACAATTTTTAAAATGGATATATTATTTAAATAATTTTATTAATTTATGTTTATGTTTTTTATATTATTGTTCTTTTTATTATTCTTATTATTATTATTATAGTTCTTTATTATTATTTATGTTATTTTATGGTCGTGTCTGGTGTGCCGGCGGGCCAAACTACCGTGTCGCCCGCGGGTTTTTGCCGTGCTCGTGCCGGATTCTTGAAATCGTGTTAACGGCACAGCCCACGACCCACTCCTCGATCACCGTGTCGTGTCGTGCCGCTGGCTGGCTCATGCCGGGCCGGGCCGGGCCAATCTCGTGTGGCCCGTGTCGCCCGCACGGCCCATGCCCACCTCTACTTATAGCTAGTTAGTTTCCATAATCTTAGCCTAATTATTATGTTGTAACCGTGTATATATAAACTATGGTTTCTAATGGAAAGGCAAGCATTCAAACTCTTTCATAATCGTATAATGCAATTCCAAGAGATGATTTCGAATCCAACACGATGCAGATTCAACATTTGCAATTCCCCAATAATCAGCAGGAAGTCTGAAACAAGAAATAGTTGGTTGTCGCTTGGACGATCAAGATACCAAGTTGTCCCTTAAAAACACAAAATCACCAAATGTAGAACGTGTCGTTACAAGCAACCTCCCCAATCAGTATCAATATAAGAAACAAGAGAAAATATCAACAATGGATAGAGATGGAGGCCTTCATCAAGAGTATGTATCACAAGTTCTAGGGCAAAAGTATCCTCGTCGTAGTTTGTAGGCATTAGTGTCATTAGCAACATGTTGAAAAATGCTTTGATCAATATGTTGTGGAGACATGTTGAAAATGCTTTAATAAACTCTACCGCCTTACGATTCTCCAATTTCCATGCTTTTCGGTTTTGGTTTTTTAGCTTATTTTCTTCTTCAATAGGCTTATACAAATCCTTACAATAAGGGACATCCTCCTTTCGAAACTTCCCCATGGAACATATGGATGATGTCAATTTAATCATTCTGATAGGCTTACCATCGAATTTTCCATTTTATTTATACAATATGTATGTACGTATCCGCCTCTAATACCATACTGTTGGGAATTATCACATAATCTTGCAACGGAAAATATTCGTTTTCCCTTCGTGTATAAACAACATAGACTAACAATTATGTAACTATAATATTATAAAATAACTCGCAAAGTGTTTATAAAATATAAACATACATTCGATGGTATACTCTTAAAATTAAATGTGTTTCTCATGTGATAAAAATTCTTCCTGAAGATTAATAACAATTAATTTGATTACACATTTATAATTAATCTAATAATGATGCAAATTAATGCTTATTAATCTTCCATTATTCTTACGTTCTTATTACTTTCTTTTTCTCTTCTTCAATTACTCTAATCATTCTTTTTCTGTAATTATTTTATAATTTAATTTTCTCCAAATAAGGAGATAACAACCAACACTTTTGTACATTGTTCTTGAATAGAATGCAATGACCATGGAGGCTAGGTATAGTTTGCGTGTTATATTCTAAGACAATAAACATTCCCGTGTTGTTACTCTCGAGCACGACTTCTCGACCACTAGTATGACATATTGTCATCAACTCTAAAGAATGTCACAGCAATAGTAGACAAAAGTGCGTACTTGGGGTGTGGGTACTTGTTTTAGATCTCATAAGTGCGTACTTGGGGTGTGGGTATATTATTCGACAAAAGGTTTATGTTCCTCCCTTTTATCGCTCCTTGCATACTCTATAGGCTCAAAATCGATAATGGTGGTTGCTCTCACTTGGATTATGATGATCCCTCTTCAAAATTGGTGTATACAGGACATTCTCATGGCAAAAATAACATGGTTGAAAGAATTATGGTGGTGGTGGCCGTGGTAACAGCAGCAATGCCCGCCATGGTGGCAGTAGCAGCGGTGCCAGCCGAGAACCGGTGGTCAGCAGCAACAACAATCCTTGGCACAACAATGGCCACAATTTTCTTTTCAGCTGCAGTACCCAAATTGGGGTTGGAATTTGGATGCCTCATTAGGTCGTTCCACTTTGCCTATTTCTGAAACAAGGATGGGCCAACATACAATCCCTATTTGGCAACCTGCTATTTTAGGCCCACGTCCACATAGGCTTACATGGCTCTTCAAATGGGCAACTCATTTCTTATGCTCCAACGAACATTAAGTCGGCAATGCACTATATGACTCTCAAGAGTCTTAACAGACCCGATCCATTATGGTACATGGACATTGGAGCTACATCACATTTGACATAATCTAATAGTAATTTTTCATCAATTTGAGCAATTATCCTAATGGTAATATTGTGGGATATGGTCCATCGATTCCAATTCATGGCTATGGTTAGTTAGTTACACTCGTTCGCCTTCCCCTAATAATGTTCTTCATGCCCCCAAACTCATTAACAATTGTAATTCTATTAAAAGTTATAACTGATAATTCTGTGTTAGTTAAATTTGATCCTTCTTGGTTTTCGGTGAAAGACTTTCAGACGAAGATGCTAATAATGAGATGTCATAGTTGGGCGACCATCATCCACTTACTTCTTCTATTAACAATCAAGCTATTTCTTCGACATTTGAAGTCATCTCTCCTTCACTTTGGCATAATCAATTGGGTTATTCACTTATTTGGTTGCTCTATTAAAGATGCTCTTAGGTTCAATCAAACTTAAGTTACTTCTTGTTTTCTCTATATTTAGTATTTCTATGCCTTTTGATATTATTCATGGTGATATTTGGACTTCTCCTTTTTTTAGTTCTTTAGGGCATCGATATTATGTAATATTATTGGATGATTTTTCAAATTTCTTATAGACTTTTCCTTCAACTAGGAAGTCGGATGTTTATGAGAAGTTCAAAGTTTTTACAACTGATATTCTAACCCAATTTATGTTAGAAGCTTGGTTGACACAAATAATTTCACACAAAAGAGAGGAAAACAAATGCACTTAATTTTGTCTCTTATAATCTCTTAAAAAAGCGTGTTTCAAAAATGAATTAAATATTGCGTTTATATAATGCTACTGCAAGCAAATAAATGAATGTTATTCCTAATACTTCTCCCATTCTATTATATTAATAACTTTTCTTATTTTTCTCCTTGTCATGCATTATAAGCTTATCCAACTTTAACTTAAACGTAATACTAAAATCGTACAATGTGATAATGGGACATGGGGGAGAGTTTGACAATGTTCTTTTTGGGATTTTTGAAATATCGCAACATGTCTCTTCGTCTCTCTTGCACTCATACATCTTGTCAAAATGGAAAAGCCAAATGGAAAATTAGATCTACCAATAAAATCACTCGTACTCTTTTTTCTCATGGGCTTCCCTTCCTCCTTCCTTTTAGGCATCATGCTTTACAAATGACAACTTATATCCTTAATATTCTTCCAACATATTTTGGGTGATAAATGTCCACTTCAAGTACTATACTAAAAGGTTCCTTCTTACTCTCATCTTTCGGTTTTTGGTTGCTTGTGTTACCCTCTCTTCATATCTACCACTATTAATAAGTTTCAACCT